AAACCATCCTGATCTGGTTTTCACTTACGATAAGGTTTTATTCGGATTTGGTAAAACACAATGTGTAGACAGTGTGCAATTCCCGGAATATATTTTCACCTGCTAATTATACAGTTGAGGGAGAGAATCACTGAGTATAGCTTATGTTTGTTTGTTGTTTAACGCCACACTCAACACTATTCCAGTTATTGACAGTGATTTGTAAATAATCAGTTCTGGCTCAGGCAATCCGGGGATTGACATCACAACATGGAATAACAGTGAGTGAGTGAGTTAAAATTCCATGTCGCATCGGCACTATTTCAGGTACATAGCGCAGGACCAATTCTGCACACACACACGCGCGCGCACACACACACAATCACATTTTAAGTCCAAAGACTAAATGTGTTTATTAAAATGCAATCTTTTTCATCACATTATAATTTTTCCCCATAAACGTCCAAATTGAAATTGAATTGATAACTGAAAAACAAATTGTACAGATATCATCAATAATTTATTCATGTGTAAATTCACGGCACACCAGAAATGGGCTTCACACATTGTACCCATCGGGGGAATCGATCTTCGATGTGACGAGCGAATTGCTTTAACCACTAGGCTACCCCATCGCCCTGTCAAATATGTAACTAAGTCAGATCGACCCCAAACTTCAAGTATTGTAAATAGTACAATGACCTGACCTCTCCCTCATACATGCACACATCAAATCAGGCATAACACAGTACAACCTTCTACTGGAAGGGGAGACAACTCTATCCAGATCCCATGTCACAGTGTATTCACAGGTTTATTTGTATAATACGTTTGACCACAACATGGTAATTTTACACAAAAAAGTTGTGGAAACGTACGAAAAGATTAACACCCACCCCACCAAAAACATAACATATAGATTTAATGCTCTTCTTTCAGTGGCCTCCACCCAGACTTGGTTCCATTATCAAAGCATATGTTGCTACGATAACCAAAAAACAAGCAGCGGCGACTGTTATGACAAGTAACCGACATTACCATGGCAAAAGCAACTGCTGTTACCATGATGACAAACCACCGTGAGTGAGTGAATATTGCTTAACGCAGCACCAGCAATGTTGCAACTGTGACCATGACGGCAAGTAAATTTGTTCCATTATCATAGCATATGTTGCTACGACAACAAATAACTGTCGCTATGACAACAAGCAACCACAACTGCTATGACAAGTAAACAACATTACAATGGCAAAAAGCCAGTGCTGTTACTATGACGACAAACCAGTGAGTGAGTGAATATTGCTTAACGCCGCATTAGCAATGTTGCAGCTATTCGCAGAGTGAAACCATGTGACCATGACAACAAGTAAATATAGATGCTATGGCAACATATAATGCAATGACCACTATTGCTCTGACGAAAACTGACACCCATTCATTTTAAGAGAACCATCAGCTGAAAGATGTATAGTGTGACAACAGTCTGTCAAGGAATCCTCACACTTTTAATGCAGCCATGACATGTGTCACAATCAAATATAAATACATCATCAGAGTATCACTGTAACCATGTCAACAGAAGGTCAAGGTATCCTCACACTGTTAATGCAGCCATGGCACGTGTCACATATATAAATACATCATCAGAGTATCACTGTAACTATGTCAACAGAAGGTCAAGGAATCCTCACAATGTTAATGCAGCCATGACATGTGACACATATATAAATACATCATCAGAGTATCACTGTAAACATGACAACAGAAGGTCAAGGAATTCTTACTCTGTTAATGCAGCCATGGCACGTGTCACATATATAAATGCATTATCAGAGTATCACTGTAACCATGACAACAGAAGGTCAAGGAATCCTCACACTGTTAATGCAGCCATGACACGTGTCACATATATAAATACATCATCAGAGTATCACTGTAACCATGACAACAGAAGGTCAAGGTATTATCACACTGTTAATGCAGCCATGGCACGTGTCACATATATAAATACATCATCAGAGTATCACTGTAACCATGACAACAGAAGGTCAAGGAATCCTCACACTATAAATACAGCCATGACACGTGTCACATATATAAATACATCATCAGAGTATCACTGTAACCATGACAACAGAAGGTCAAGGTATCCTCACACTATAAATGCAACCATACTGATTTGATTTGGTTTGGACTAGGACATAGTTTTATTCGGATTATGTAACACAATGTGTAGACAAATGGAGAGATTCATTAAATGCATGTTTTTTCTTTACAATATTATTTACAAACGGAATAAGGCATGGCATGACTTTTTCCCAATAAACTTCCACATACAAATTTCATTGATAACTGCAACACCAACTGTACAGATATCATCAATAATTTATTCATGTGTAAATTCCAGCAAAAGCTTGATAAAAAGTCATGTTTTGTAGGTGCTTAGAGCATAACTTAAGTCAGTTGAGTGAGTGAGTTTAGTTTTACGCTGCTTTAAGCAATATTCCAGCAATATCACGGCAACGGACACCACAAATGGGCTATAGCCATTAAACCCATGTGGGGAATTGAATCCGGGTCTTTGGCATGACGACAGGCTTCTGTTACCTAAGGGTCTCTGGGTGTTATACCCATCTCCCTAGGCAATCTAACTATCCACTCTTGTTCTGGAGATAATATGTAGTTAAGATGGATAGTCAAAGATAAGTCCGGTATGTTGTTCAAGTCAATTTATTTTGGAATGAATTCTCACACAAAGGGCCTCTGATATTACTTTGTTTTCCTGGTCTACACACAGCACAGATTCACAAACTTCATGGAAAATCTTGTTGATTCGAAGTACAACTCCTAATGCTATAAGTTTATCTGAATGGAACATCGTGAATGGTTGGAAGAATAAAGGCTTTCCCCAAAGGTAACTGAAAGTAGCGGAGTTCTGAACATCATGTCAGTCCAAGGGAGTGATGAATCTATTCGTTCTCGTTCTTCGTCTTTTTCTGACCAAGAATTCCACATTTATCCGGGCCATGCTGTGGAATCTTCCACGGGTGAGTGAGTGAGATTATTTCGCATTGTTTCAGCCACATAGCGACGAGACAAAGTCTGCACATAAACACATTTTAATTACATAGTTTAAGTTGGTTTCTTAAAATACACGCTTCTTCATTAGAATGACTAACTTTGTCTTATGTAATATTTCGTAGACGTTTTTAAAGGTTCGCGTTCCTATTTTATTTCATCAGTTATTGTTTGGAAGAAAGTGTTGTAATGATTGCATGAACTGTTGTGATATCAAAACCAAGAAAACCAATCTATTTTCACTTGAAACACAACACAAAATGTATTTAATGCTAAATATGGACGCAATATATTCAATACTCCTGGCGTCATGCCAGTAAACAAAACCAATAACTTTGCAGAGCCTGACCGCGTTCAGGGAAAGTGGTCATGAGTCTTCCTCGGACCAAAACGTTTCTTTGCGTCCTGCACTGGATTGCACCCGAGGGGTAAGAATGACTGAACTTGTTCAAATGATATTTGTCATATTAAAAGGTCAAGTATCAGTCATATGTAGATAATCGACAGACGTTTCGGAACATACCATTGATCCATAGGGTATTGCAACTTACTGAAGCGGAGGGGTAGTGAGGTAATGTAAATGATTGAGCGTGACAAATGAATATATCGTGTGTTCTCAACATCCTGCACGTGGATGAAAACAGTATGCATCCCGTTTGAGGAATGATACAGGATGACGCTGTCGCTGATCCGTCTTATACAATAGGTAAGAGGCAAGTAAGAGCGGTCATTGTCACATGTGATCAGGTTGGGATGTCCGAGGTCAAGATATGTCGCTATCGGACACTTAAAATACTCTGGTTCACTTAGATTCTCATGCTACTAATCATCTGTATGAGTGGCGATAAAAACAGTAGCGGGCGATGTGATCCACGTTTGTATCATCACCCGGTGTCACTACTGACAATTTCATTGTTCACCTCTACTTTGCCTTTTTCGTCACATGAAATGTGGTTCGGCAGGATATAATGAGTGAGTGGGAAAAGATTTTAAGTCACATCGGCAGTTTCATATCGTGACAATAACAAGTTACATATGCCCAATACATATATAAAAACCTATTAACGAAGGACAGTAAAAAACAACTAGAATATCAGATATATATGAAAAACAGATAAAACAAATCTTTAAAAGTTTCAATATAAGACACTATAAACCAGTTTCAGTATAAAAGACAACACAATATAATAACAGATTAAATATTAAAGTGAATACAATATACAATTAGGCTGTAGACCGGAGAGCGGAAGGTCGCGGGTTCGATCCCCGGCCGCGTCATACCTAAAGACGTTAAAATATGGTACTTGTTGGTCCCTGTCTGGCGCTCGGCATTAATGGGTACAATGACTGGTCGGCTCGGAGTCAGTATAATGTGTCTGAGTCGGGTATTCATACTTCACTGCGGCATGGTATCTCAGTGAGCTTGCACTATAAAACCAGCTTCAGTCTGGGCTAGTACAAGCAGCCGCACAGACACATACACACGCATGCACGTCGTCATCTGAGTGAAATATTCTCAAGCACGACGTTAAACCCAATTGCACCTCACCTCACCTCCACTTTAAACATATGCATTGATAATTCAGGTTCGTGGTTTGTTTGATATGGTAAATCAAGTTTGGGATGAAAACGATCTTAGTTGTTCAACTAAATTTGAACCCTGCGTGAGATGATTTGCAGTTTCCTGGGATGGCTGGAAAAATACAAATTCTGCTGTGATTAGAAATATTATGTTCTTTTATCTGCTATCAAATAATTTCAAACTGTACCTGTGATGAACCAATTGTTATCCATGCGTTAACAATTAACTAACCCATGTAAAAGATTATTTATGTTTTCAGGAAGGCAGAGAAGATTTCCTTATCAATCACCTATGACGACACTGTTGCTGATGAAAACTTGCAAGAAGGCGACATACTGTTGTCATCTTGGAAAGGATGTACTATTCTATACTAGCCACACAAAGAAACTGTGCATTGTCAAAATAGTATCCCAGTTGATAAGTACGATAACAATGTCAAAGGTACATATACACTTTAATGGAGGGATCATGAGACCATAACAAGTCTGGAGAATTTCAATTGAAAAGTCAATCACAATTACGTGACGAGTCCACAAGCGGGACAGGGGTCAAACGAGCATGTCACAAGCTCAATAACGGGTATGTCCACCATCGGCATTGAGAACAGCAGTGCATCGACGACGCATAGAGCCTATCAAACGTGCAAGGAAGGTTTGTGGGATGTCACGCCACATTCTCTCAAGTTCTGTTGCAAGGTCAAGGTCGTTACCTGGCGGATGAGGAACACGGCGTAGACGTCGATCCATCTCGTCCAAAACATGCTCTATCGGGATGAGATCCGGTGAATTTGCAGGCCAAGGCAGTAAGTCAACGTTGTGGTGTTGCAAGAAATCCATAGCAACCTTTGCCGTATGAGGGCGGGCATTGTCCTGTTGGAATGTTTACCCAGGGCAATGACGTTGCAGAAAAGGAATTGCCACAGGTCGAAGAATCTGAACCCTGTAGCCCATACCAGTTAAGTTGCCCCGAACAATCACCAAAGGAGTTCTTTGGCGTGCTGTTATTCTACCCCAAATCATCACGGAACCACCACCAAAGCGATTCCTCTGCGAGACACAGGCCTGTGCATAACGTTCTCCCACGCGTCTATAGGCACGTTGACGTCCATCACTATGTGAAATGTTAAACCTGGACTCATCTGTATAAAACAACATTTCTCCACCAAAACAAGGGTCTGCGGACATGATTTCGGCACCACATTCGGCGAGCTTGTCGATGACGTTGTGTCAGGATAGGCCGTATGGCAGGACGTCGTGGTCTGATCCCGTGATGACGTAAACGTTGTCGAACTGTGTTGGGGTGGATACGGCGAAGTCCTGGGATGGTTCGGGCACTCATCACTGCAGTCTGAAACCTGTGGCGAAGATGGGTCACCTTTACCCATATGTCCTGTCTTGGCGTTGTTACACGTGGACGTCCAGAACGTGGCCGATCGATGACGTCATTTGTGTTCTGGTAGCGTCTCATCAGTGCAGAAATGGTGTTCCGGTGGCAGTGGAAATGTGCAGCCACTTGTCGTTGAGACGTTTCACCACGGACCATCCTAATGGCCTCATGACGTTGTGCAGACGTGAGCCTTGGCATGCTATGCGCTCCAATAGCCGTTTAATTTGTTGAACGATCGCAAGGGCAGGGGTTGAGCTTTCCAATGTGACAGTATTGTGTGGCATTCATTCAAACTCTATACCTTGAACGTGTATGTGTCAAGCTATATACTTAAGCAAAAGAATCTATTTCATTCAACCCAATTTCAGATTGGATCCCACTGAGAGCCAGTTGTGTTTTGACCGTCAAGTTGTCTCCCCTGCGTCCCGGACATGAGGAGAGCGTTTATACAGCTTAAATGTAAATAAATCCCGTTCTGTGTGGTTTTCTTTATCAGTATTTTTTTCATAAAGTGAATGTGCTAATGCAGTGTCCTGTATATTAAACAGTATGAACAAGAAACCTGTCATGGAATATATGTGAAGCGTTGTTTCTCTTTCCCGGAATGCACGTGCAACAACGTATTGCACGTCTCAAGGACGAACCCACTGACGTCACGGAACGTGGCACGTGCATGCATGTTGGATACATGTCACTAATCTCTGAGTTTAAATCCTCATGTGTCTACTTTGATATATTTAGATTTTAAATTTTTGTATGCACAGTTTCTTTATGTGCCTAGTATATGTGTTAAACGTCATATGGTTATTGTGTTCAGAGATTGAAGCTGCTCCAAGAACCCTGGCCTCCTCATCTATCGTAAATCGAAGTGGAAAGATTCAGGATGGAAGCGTACACAAGAGACTACAGGACCGTATTTGCATCAACTTGAAAATGTTGGAGGAACAATGAGAACTGACACTAAATCATGCTGATTCTAAATCACATATAGCAAAACTTGAATCATTAACTATACTGCTAGACGACAAAGTGCCGGGGATTGTCACTAATAACATTCAACAGAGTTAGTATTTCTTTTCATATTTTTGACTGATGATTGAATTGAATTTATTCAAATAATCATAATGGTTTCAGGTAGGTATTTACTGTTCTTCGCCATGTTAATATCAGTGCTCCTTTGACACATATTGATACGAGTTGAAAAAATCATAAACCAGTCAATCGAAGTTTGTATTTCCATTGTAGATGAATTTAGTGAATCTGGAAACGCTTAAAAGACACATTGCATTGGGAAATAGCCAATCAATGCATGGATCGGCACAAATATTTGTCTTTCGTTATGGAATTCCTTACAATGCTTTCAATGGCCCACGTTGTTAGCGTCCCCTGGTGATATTGCTGAAAGCCATACTCACTCACTCACTCACTCACTCAAATTACAACGCTACTGTTTTGACAGCACCACGTCGCAGCTAGACTTGGAAGACGAAAGTTGTGTACGTATGCATTTTACTTTGAGTCTATTTCCAGTAGGCACACACCTCGCACTAGGAAAAGCCGGGAAAGGCACAAATGTCGACGAATTTTCCAGGTTGAATCTGGCATCTGTGCACTTCAGTCGAGATTAAATAGCTTCCAGTATGAACCCAATGTAGTAAGAACAAAATATAAACAACATAAAGTCATATTGCAACAGAAGTTCAAGATCAAATCAAGGAAATGTCCACCATGTTGTTCGAACAATTACTATTGACCTAAAAGCTAATTACTTTCCGAAGAAAGAGTTACTCCCAAGCTTTGGCTATGTCAATTTAATTTTGTGTTGTTTTTTGTTGGGTTTTTGGTTTGGTTTGGATCGGTTTATCATTTTTACTTTATTTTTTACTCTCTATCTTAAAATGAACTCGGCTTCAAAGAGGCAATATCCTTAATGAATAGTTCCAACCGATTACCCTGGGTAGTTTTTCTTACCCAAATTATGCATTAGAAAAAAGGGAATGGTACTTTGTTTTGCATATACTTTTCACCAAATGCATTGGTGCTTAATGATAAGGTGTTAGTGAAAAGTATCTCATTACATATTCTAAGGAGAAAAAAAACAAATAAAAACATGCACCAAAAGAAAATATCTGTGTTTTTCTTAATGATACAAGCTTTATTCCAACGATATGGATTCAACATATTTCAAAGAATGAGTTGATAATACATTCTGGTGTTTGTTGTAGGTCTGACGATGTTCAGTTTTGGTGGATCGACCTATTTACAGACACCATGTAAAGGATGTGAAAGCCACATTAACTTGGTGCGTCTAGTGGCTGCACGAGTTCTATGATCCCCACGGAGTTGAGATTGAAAATATGATGTGCCGTTGTTATTGACATCCAGTGCTCGCGGGGAAAACCCAAAGCGCTTTGAGTATGCATAAAGATAGGATGGAATATATAGCATTATATAAATACAAATAAGATAATAATAAAAGAGGCGACTAAAGGGATTGGGTGGTTAGGCGTGCTGTCTTGGTTGACACATGTCATCGTATCCCAGTGCCATGATATAAACTAAGATTGATGTGTCATGACATATACCAAGATTGGTAAAATTGATGTGTCATGACATATACTTAGATTAATGTGTCATGACATATAAGATTGATGTGTCATGACATATACTATGACTGGTAAGTTTGATGTGTCATGACATATACTAAGATTGGTAAGATTGATGTGTCATGACATATACTAAGAGTGGTAAGATTGATGTGTCATGACATATACTAAGATTGGTAAGATTGATGTGTCATGACGTATACTAAGAGTGGTAAGATTGATGTGTCATGACATATACTAAGATTAATGTGTCATGACATATACTAAGATTAATGTGTCATGACATATACTAAGAGTGGTAAGATTGATGTGTCATGACATATACTAAGATTAATGTGTCATGACATATAAGATTGATGTGTCATGACATATACTAACAGTGGTAAGATTGATGTGTCATGACATATACTAAGATTGGTAAGATTGATGTGTCATGGCGTATACTAAGATTAATGTGTCATGACATATAAGATTGATGTGTCATGACGTATACTAAGATTGGTAAGATTGATGTGTCATGACATATACTAAGATTAATGAGTCATGACATATAAGATTGATGTGTCATGACATATACTAAGATTGGTAAAATTGATGTGTTATGACATATACTAAGATTAATGTGTCATGACATATAAGATTGATGTGTCATGACATATACTAAGAGTGGTAAGATTGATGTGTCATGACATATACTAAGAGTGGTAAGATCGATGCGTCATGACATATACTAAGATTGGTAAGATTGATGTGTCATGGCATATACTAAGATTGGTAAGATTGATGTGTCATGACATATACTAAGATTGGTAAGATTGATGTGTCATGACATATACTAAGATTGGTAAAATTGATGTGTCATGACATATACTAAGATTAATGTGTCATGACATATACTAAGATAAATGTGTCATGACATATACTAAGATTGGTAAGATTGATGTGTCATGACGTATACTAAGAGTGGTAAGATTGATGTGTCATGACATATACTAAGATTGGTAAGATTGATGTGTCATGACATATAGTAAGATTAATGTGTCATGACATATACTAAGATTGGTAAGATTGATGTGTCATGACATATACTAAGATTAATGTGTCATGACATATACTAAGATTAATGTGTCATGACATATACTAAGATTGGTAAGATTGATGTGTCATGACGTATACTTAGAGTGGAAAGATTGGTCTGTCATGACATACTAAGATTGGTAAGATTGATGTGTCATGACATATACTAAGATTGGTAAGATTGATGTGTCATGACATATACTAAGAGTGGTAAGATTGATGTGTCATGACATATACTAAGATAAATGTGTCATGACATATAAGATTGATGTGTCATGACGTATACTAAGATAAATGTGTCATTACATATACTAAGATTGGTAAGATTGATGTGTGATGACGTATACTAAGAGTAATGTGTCATGA